CCCTGGTACACACACCCCCGCCCCCATTCTTCTAATGGTCAGAATTACAGCCTCTGGGACAGAAACCCCTGTGCTGCTTCTTTGCTAGCAAACTTTTTTTCCCCTTTTTTCTCAACTCTGTGCCCTCATTATTGGATTGGCATTAGGAAAAAAAAATGGGGCATTCAGTAACACCTTAAACTCATGTTTCCATGCCTCATGGATGTTATTTATCAGTAAATATTTGGCTTTGAAATATTTTGCCTGATGTTAGTAGAGGTACTACAGTACAGCTCACTCCTGTTGGCTGTCTGCATGGTGTATGATTCACATCCTTTTGTTTTCAAACTCTTTATATATTTGCTTACAAACAGTGACCCCTGTAGATAGCATAGAATTGGACCATGTTTTCATTCTGTCTGATGACCTCTACCTTGCAATAGGATTGTTCTGTCAATTCACATTTTAATGTTTCTGTTAATGTGGATTCATATCTGCCCTTTTACATTTTTCTATTTTCTTATGTCATTTTTATTCCTCTATCCATCTTCATTGTGTGTGATTGTGTTTTACTGGGGATTGAACCCAGGGGTGCTCTAACACTGAACTATATTTCCTGCCCCTTTTAAAACTTTATTTTGAGAGAGGGTGAGGCTAAATTGCTGAGGATGGCCTAGAATTTTTGATCCTCCTGGCATGGTTTGAATCACAATACAAGGCTACTGATCTTTTTTATGTTTTGTTTTGGTTTTGTTTGCTAATGAAGAATTTCTTCCGTGATTTTTTTCCAGTTTTATATGTATTGGCCTAGAGATGAGTTATCATGCGTGAGAAATATGCTCACTCGTCCAAAACTCAAAAATGGCTTTGTTATAGACCCAGAGAAACGGAGATAACATAAAGACCTCCTTCAAACCTCCATTCTTGCAATCAAGTCAGAAAAATTTCAGGTGAGTCCCCCAGTAGACATGAGCTTATTGAAGGGACAGGAAAAGGGAAAGGGGAGCCTCTCAAGGGAGAGAACAGGTCCTGTCACAAAGGAGAGGGTCAGTGTGCCTCTCCTGCACTCCAGTTTTATTGGGGTTTCAGGGAAGTTTCCAGAGACTCCTGCTCAGGTCTACCTCTTGACCTCTGACTGACCACAGGGTGATATCAGACTTTTAAGTCCCCACTGTCATTGCAAGTCTATGTCACCTTGAGCCATGCTGAGCTGTTCTAATTGGATTCTTAACCAAATAATTATTCTTATCTTCCAAAACCTGGCCTGTGAAAAGGGTCACAAAAGTCTTCCTGCAAAGTAACTCGGGTTCTTCTTAGGGTATTCCTTGCCTGCACTGCTCCTACGGATAACAGGTAGTTTGCTGAATAATGTGACTTATCTTGTCCACTTAAGCCAGGCAGAGTTGCAAGTAAATTGCTTTTAGGCAAAGAAAGCATGTGGGGCCAGCACAGTGAACCCATTTTATAGAATTATTCTCTTAATATTGTGTTCCTATCATTGTCATTTCTCTGTCTCCTAAAAGATTGAGAGACAAAGGTACAGAGAAAGCACAGCTTTTACTGATGGACTTGCAAGATTGAATGTATGAGGGAGCAGACACACAGAGAGTAGTATGGCCAGCATTTTATCATCAGGAGCCCAAGGCCCCCCTAACCCCCAGTTCCTCACTGGGTAAGTATTATGGCGTGTGCCATCTTCCGGATCATCACCTGGGTTTTGCTATCTCCCATAGGATCATTTAAAGAAATATGATGCTGGGCAGTGTGGTACACACCTGTAATTCCAGTGGTTTGGGAGGCTGAGGCAGGAGGACTGCAAGTTCAAAGCGAGTCTCGGCAACTTAGTGTGGCCCTAAGCAACTTAGCAAGATCCTGTATCGAAATTGAAAAAAATAAAAATAAAAAGAGCTGGAAATCTGGTTCAGTGTTTAAGCCCCCCTTAGTTAAATCCCTGGAATCAAAAAAATAGATATATGTATATTAAAAAATATATAATTAGTTGTACCCACTTCCCTTGTTCTCTTGTAGCAGGAAAGCCTTCTTGGATTGAATGCATCTTGGCATGTAGAGAGTTTTACTTTACCTAAATTAACAGATATTTCTATTTCTGTTGGTCAGGCTAAACCCATCCCCTACCTCCTGTGGGTCAAGGAGGGTTCAGGTACATGGAATCTGAATCTGCCACATCAACAGGCTGTGGTGCTATGCTTGTATCTTTGAATTCTGCTCTATTTCCCCTCAGGCTGTCTTTCTTACATCCCAATTTTACATTTAAGGCTAAATGCTGTGTTCTGAAAATGGATCCCTGGACTTTTTATATCTCATACCATGTGTGTCTCATCAGAATCATCCACACATTCATACTAAGAATGCCAGCTAAAATATCCTACATAGCTCTATTTCCTTCTTCACATAAATCCTGTTCTATATTCCATTTTCATATTATTCTTTTATATGTCATATCTGTAAAATTACAGATTAAACAGTAACTTGCTGAAAGAGTTATTGCATTATGTAATCTTATGTCTTTTGAAGAAGTTAAAGGGAGACCAATGATATAATTAGGATTTGTGTGTGTATGTTTGTGTGTATGTGTGTGTGCTGGGGATTGAACTCAGAGGCACTCAGCCACTGAATCAATCCCCTGCTCTATTTTCTATTTTACTAAGAGACAGGTTCTTACTAACTTGCTTAAGACTTCTCTTTTGCTGATGCTGGTTTTGAACTAGCAATCCTCCTGCCTCAGCATCTGTACCCACTGGGATTACAGGTGTGTGCCACCATGCCCAGCCTAATCATGTGTCATTTTCTTCATTTGATCAATAATAGATTGGAGTCCCTATCGGGAGTCATTTTCTCAAACCCATTATATTTATGCTCCCGCGCACTTTCTTTGTACCACTATAAAAAGGGTGTTGAGGATATAGCTCACTGATAAAGTGCCCCTGCCATGGATTCCATCCCTAGCACAAGGTAAAGAGAAAAAAGCATCTGGAGGTCAGATCTTAGCCCTGGCAGGTAAGTGGCCACTGTTCCATACTTGTGGGAATATGATCTTTATATATTAGCCCCCCAGCCCTCCGTCCATAGTTGATAATGTTAGGCAGAATGAACTTAGGCCAGTGTGCAGGATGTGAAAGACTTCACAAAGTCCAAGTTAAAAGCAAAGAAGAAAATTTTATTTACTTTCCAAGAGGGATAAGATGGACGATACCACAGGCCATATTGGCCTGAGTGGTAAATGTTTGGGATTTATATCCAAGATTTATAAGTAGAGCTGAGCAGGGTTTTTGTTTCTTTATGGTGTAACTAGCAATTGAAACCCAGGAAGCTGAGAGCACTGGGTCAGCATCTGGGGGTCAATTGCTTTCTGGGCAGGAGAGGTTGGGCATGTGGCTTTTCTTGAAAATGTTGATGCCTCTGAACACTTTACATGGAAACACACATGGGATGGGACTCCTCCTGAGAGACTAAGTGACCTCAGTCTATGCAATGGAGTGACATGAGTCAAGGGGGCAAATGAGCATGAGCTCACATATATCTTAGGAGACCCACAGGTGCCTGAAGCCACAGATAATACCAAATCCTACAGTTTTTTGTACACATACCTGCCTATGATCACCTTTTGTATAAAACCTCAAAGTCCTTGTCACCCCTGAAGCCAGGTTTAAGGATAGGGTTCCCTTGTCTTTCTGTTGTAGCTGCACTGATCACCGTCCCTTTCCTGCTTTTCATCATGACCTTTTCTGCTTGGTTCTGGAGTAAACAGCTGACCTGACCTGTGGGATCACCAGAGTCATGTCTCTGCCTAGGACTCCCTAATAGTAGAATGTAGAATATCTACACCCATTTTATATCGCACCCCCCAGAGGATTGCTGGCCTGCCTTCCTTTTTTATTTTATTTTTATTCATTTTACTGAACTACAAAGCCAAGCCCAATTGCTTCCTTTCGTAGCTCAGGCTGCCTCCTCAAAAGAGCAGAGGCCAGGAGGGGATGAGAATTATTGAACTAATTGTCAAATTGTTCTCATTTTTTGATATCATGTGATATATATGCTTTTTTTTTAAAGAGAGAGAGAGAAAATTTTTTAATATTTATTTTTTAGTTTTCAGTGGACACAACATCTTTATTTTATTTTTATGTGTTGCTGAGGATCGAACCCAGCGCCCCGCGCATGCCAGGCGAGCGCGCTACCGCTTGAGCCACATCCCCAGCCCGATATACATATATATATATACATATATATACATATATATATACATATATACACATATATACATATATATACATATATATATATACATACATAT